CACCTCCCAAGGAAGTCATCAACGGAAACATAAAGACGGTGACAGAGTACAAGATAGATGAAGATGGCAAGAAGTTCAAGGTGAGGTTCAGGTGGCCACAGCGGGTCAGCGTGCCTTTGTCCTCAGGGTCAGATTGGTCATAAGAGATGAGTGTTGATTGGGTTGGCGAGAAAGACCTTGAGATTCTGGAGGTGCTCCTCTTTCCGTTTTCAGATTGTCAGAACCTTCAGGATTGAGACCCGGAAGGCATCAAAGGCTGTGGCCAGGAGAAAGGTGAGACCCTCCTGTCTCGTTTTGGTGTGTGTCGGGGGACAGGGTCCCCAGGACTGACTCAAGGAGTTATATAGAGTTAAGTAAGGTTTAGGGCCCAGGAGTAGATGAGGTTAGACCACCCCCTCCCTATTTTTGTGTGCTCCTGTGTAGAGTGTCATTCCTCCAGCTCATTCCTCTTGGTCTGTGATGGTCCTTTGTCATCAGAAACTAGATTGGGCTAGCTGGCCACTATCCGCAGGGATCCTGCCATCTCTGCCTCCTATCTGGCCAGCACTGAGGTTAAAAGGACATGCCTTATTGGCCAGCTTTTCATTGTGGTGTATTTTTGAGAGGCTCTTGTTGTGTAGTTTTCAAATTCTAAATGCTTCTGCCTCAGCCTCCTGGGTCCTGACTTAGGTTCTTAGTCCTTTGTCCTGTCTACCTTACGGAACAAGCAGGCTCCACTTAACCCTTAACCAAGGGGCAAGGGCTTCTGGAGGAAAGACATCCACGCACTGAGAGCAAGGCTCCATGCCAGGCAGTTAGCAAAACTTGGCTTTCCGAGGTATAGACCAGGCTAGGGAGGCAGGGAGCTTTGTGGTCCCCGTTTTACAGGAAGTGGGTGAGTCTCGGGTTTAACTAGCTCAAGGTTCCTGTGATCTGCGTGACTCCTGGACATCCTCCAGCTTCATCCCTGGTGGGAGCTGGCCCATGGACCTGTCCGGAAACTGCCAGTGGACAGTTGTGTGCCACCCCTTCCTGAATCTCCCTGCTGCCTCCTGGAATGTTTGACTTAGGGTGACAGTTGTGTGCCTCCATGCCTGGTTCAGGAAGTGGGAATTGTCACCGTTATCACAGGATTTGAGGCCCTGATATGGTTGTCTGTCTGGGGTACACTGTGGAGTCCTGCCTTCCTTTGTTCGTAACTTCTCCCCACCCTTCTGTGAGCCCAGAACTGGAAGAAGTTTGGCAACTCGGAGTTTGACCCACCAGGGCCCAATGTGGCCACCACCACAGTCAGTGATGATGTCTCCATGACATTTATCACTAGCAAAGAGGTGAGCAGGGCTGAAGCTGGAGACCCAGAAATGCAGTGGGGGTGGGGTGGGCACAGCAGCTCCCTCTGAGCCACCCTTCCCTATTCCCCACCAGGACTTAAACTGCCAGGAGGAGGAAGATCCCATGAACAAGCTCAAGGGCCAGAAAATTGTGTCCTGCCGCATCTGCAAGGGCGACCATTGGACCACCCGCTGCCCTTACAAGGACACACTGGGGCCCATGCAGAAGGAGCTGGCTGAGCAGCTGGGCCTGTCCACTGGGGAGAAGGAGAAGCTGCCGGGAGGTGTGGACCTAGGATACCTGGGAGGGGCTTCAGCTACTCCTTTTGTAGTGTGCTGTTTTCTTTCTCTGTGGTCAGGTCTGAGCAGCCTATGTCTGGGCGCCCTCATAGACATCTCATTTGCTTGGGGCATGGTGGTTCCTATATAGGTGTGGCTGGTGACTTAGTCTAGTGCGCGTGTGCGTGTGTGTGTGTAGGCAGTACCCATGTGCTCTGGAGGTTGAAATTCTGATGTGTCTTGTGGGTAGCTGCCCCTGTGACTTGCATGGAGCTTTGCCTGTCTCCCATCAGCAGCTTGCAGTCTGTGCTGTGAGACTGGTGTTCTCTAGCTTGTGGGGCTCTGCCGTGCTGCGCTATGGGTGCCAGGACCACGTCTGCCCTCGGGCTTCTTCACTTTAACCATGCAGTCAGCAGAGACTTTGAAGGCTGTTAGCTTTCTGGCTGCAACCTTTGGGTCACCAAAGGATGACTGGATGCTTATAGCTTGGGGCTGGGATGAATGTGACTTTGTCCACTGCTTTCCAGAGCTGGAGCCTGTGCAGGCTGCCCAGAACAAGACAGGGAAGTATGTGCCCCCAAGTCTCCGGGATGGGGCCAGTCGCCGTGGGGAGTCCATGCAGCCTAACCGCAGAGGTAAGAGGCTAGGAGTAGCCTAGGTAGCAAGTAGACAACTAGACACCCTGTAATTATCCTGCCTTGTGGGCGTGGGGTCTAGCTATGGCATGCTTCTCACTGCCACCTCACCCTGCCCTGCCCACAAAGCCGATGACAATGCCACCATCCGTGTTACTAACCTGTCTGAGGACACACGTGAGACTGACCTCCAGGAACTCTTCCGGCCTTTTGGTTCCATCTCTCGCATATACTTGGCCAAGGACAAGACCACTGGCCAGTCTAAGGTGGGTGGACTTGTTTGGGGAATGGGTGGCTGGACAATAGGGGTCCTGGGACCCACTTTTTATCCTCCTCCCCCAACTCTCTGCCCCTGGCCCCCAGGGTTTTGCTTTTATCAGCTTTCACCGTCGGGAAGATGCTGCCCGCGCCATTGCAGGGGTGTCTGGATTTGGCTACGACCATCTCATCCTCAATGTCGAATGGGCCAAGTAAGACATCCTCCCTGCCCCTCCCCTCTCCCACATCCTCCTTAGCCCACTGTGGGTCCTGCCCTAGTTATGTGGTTGCCAGGCCTGTCTGAAGGAAAGTCTTTATTGTGCTCTGGAAAAAAACTTTGCCAGACTTGATGCTACTGTTCCTAAGTGGGCAAGGCCTGGGCTCCCCTGGTGTATGAGTGTGGAGTCTCAGGTACCCTTCAGGGTCACAAGTCCCCACCTGCATCCTTACCACCTCCCTTCTTTCCAGGCCATCAACAAACTAATAAGACACCTGTTGCCTGCTGCTGTCGCCCGGACCCTCAGGGACAGGAAGCTTCCATTAAACAGACACCAAACACACTTATGTCTTGCTTGTTCTCATGGGTCTCCCGTCGGGGGTGGATCTGGCCCCTCCTTCAGGCTGTGATCTTGTAAAGGGATGGGAGGCAGCCTCCACTGGTGAGGAGGTAGTGGGGGTACCCTTGCTACTTCAGGGCTGTTGTCGCAACTGCAACCATCTTCTGGCGAGGAGGCTTCAGTTAGATGGGTCATGGGCTCAGCTAGCTTTGGGGAGTGGTTGTACCTGCTACAGGCAAGTCTTGGCGAGGGCTCTTGTCCTCAGGGTTTCGGTGGCATGGGTGACAGTCTAGGCTGGGTGCCACTGCCATGTAGAGCAGGGGGTGCATGCATGTAGCCAGGGGCACAAGGATGCGTGTTGTCTGGTAGCCAAAAAAGGCCCTCAGGTCCAGCTCCGCCACAGCCTGTGACACACTAGTGAAGTTGGGGCAGCGAGCCATCCAGTGCAACATGGCGTCCACATGGATCACTAGTGTGATATGGTAGGGCACATAGGAGCAGGCGTAGAGAGCCACACCACTGGTCACCAGCACTACCACATGCAGCTTCTGGGCTGTGGTCATGCTTGGGCTGTGTAGTACCACCCACCCTAGTGCACTGTAGGCCATTAGTGTAAGCAGCAGAGGCAGAATGCCACCCAGGCATGCCAGCACCAAGCTGTAGGTTCTGAAGGTCCCTAGCTGGCTGTCCTCCATCATTCCCAGGCACTTGACACAGGCCTCAGGATTGAGCCTACTACATGTCCCAAGGCCTGACTGGGGTTCCTTCTGGTGGGAGAAGCCAAGCATGGGGGCAGCCAGCAGGATGGCCATGGCCCAGCTGGCAACAGTGACAATCCAGGCGTGCTTGGGTCGCAGGTGTCTTCGTGTAAAGAAAGGGTGTACAACCACCATGTATCTGCTGAGGCTGATGCAGGTGATGAAGAAGATGCCACCCAGCAGGTTGCAGGTGAAGACAAAGCGCTCTAGACGGCAGGCCACCTCCCCAAAGCTCCAGTTTTTTGGTGGGTAGAAGTAGGCTGCCAGAGGAGGCAGTGTGAGTGCATAGTACAGGTTGCTGACTGCCAGCTGTACGGAGAACACCACAGCTGGGTGCCAGAGCCTTTGCTCTTTGGTGATAAAGCGGTACAGGGCCAGGCCATTGCCCCCCGTCGCCACCAGGAACTCCGCCATCAGGATGGCCCAGAGGTAGCCCTCCTGAAAGCGCCTGTACTGCTGGTCGGCAGCTTCCACATATTTGTCCAGGCAGGGCTTGGTATCTGTAGGCAGAAGTAACATTTGCATGCATGCCAGCTCCTATGCAAGCAGGTGTAGGCTTGCTCTGCAAATGCAGCCTGACAGGTCCCTATCACCACCTGCAAGGGCCAGCCTAGCTTCAGGTGGGATGGGTCAGGGTCACACTCAGTCTGATTTTGAGACAAACTGGGGTAGCCCCAAGATCCTGCCATCACCACCCAGGGCTCTTCTCACCACACTGCCCTCCTGCTGGCACCAACCAGCTGTGGGGTCAACCAGAGGGTACCCAAATCCCAGCTGGGGCTGCACTCATAACTTTACCATTTCCCAACAACTCTGCCCAATTCCACAGAGCCTTGCATTGTTCCTGAACACTCAGCCTCTTCAAAGCAATACACATAGTGCAGAGGAACTGCTCTGGCCACCCGAGCCCCTACTGCAGACGCAGATTGCTTAAAGACCTGTCTCTTAACTGGCCGAGTGCTAGCTTACCTGAGAGGGAGGCCATGGTCCTCACAGTGGCAGCTCTGGGTTACACAGGCACCTCCTGGGTTCCCAGCAGTGTGGCCACTGGCCCATCTCAACTTGCATAGCCAGTCAGGGTGACACCTCCCACCTAGCCCACTTCCTCCCTGTACCATCTGGGCCGGGCCTGTCTCTTGGCCAGTCACAACTAAGTACTGTTTAGCCCTGTCCCCACCCCAATCAGAGAGTGGACTCAAAAAGTGCCAAGTTCAAGTTTATTGGAAGAACTGAATAGCTCCTTTATGAAAGGAAACCGGGCTACACTGGAGCCCAGGGCAGCTCTCACGCCCCAATCTGGGGCATCTATGGTTCATCCACTGCCAAGCAGCCTCAGGTTCTTGATGGCCGACCTGTGGCCTGCCGTCTGACTCTGGGTCCCAGCTTGGTCTTGACTCCTTGGAATCTGCCCTTTGGTTTCGGAGGCCGCCAGTTGCCACCCTGACCCCTGCCTGAGCCAGGCCTCTGCTCCTTCCCACGCTGCTTCTTGCCTGGAGGTCTTCCCATCCGCCTCCGCTTGCCCACTCTGGGGAACATGTCTGTAGGGAGAGAAATGGTCAGGGTCCTCAAGAAGTAAGGGGCCTCAGGTATCACCAGCACAGCCCTGCACACACCCTCGTCAGGCTCCTCGCCCACAGCTTGGCGAAAATACTCAGCATCATCCTCATCCTCCTCATTCTGGTTTGCTCCTACTGCCTCTGGAGGTGCCCCAGGGTCCTCGGCATCACTGTCCCCATCGGTCCTTGCCCGGGCTCGCTTCATGCCCGCCAGGCTCTTCTTCCTGGAGGACAAGAGTGACAAGGGTTTTAGCTTGCACAGGCGCCAACCCAGCGTTCTGCCCACGGCCTTTGCATACTTGTGGGCCTCGCGCAGTTCCTGCTTGCGCTGTAGGTTCTCAGCCTGCTGGTTCTGACGCTGGGCCTTGAGTCGTAGCTTCTCCTCCTTTGCTGCCAAGATGGCCTGCAGTTCTGCCTCGGTCTTGTGCACTGTGAGGAAGACCAGACATACCTGTCAAGATCACAGCGGGACCTAGTACTGCTCCCAAAGGCTGGCCTCACCCTGTCCCCTTACCAAAACTGTGGAAGAGGACATTGCCGTTCCCAACACCCTCCTGGATCTTAACGAGCTGCAGTGTCATCCGGGGTCCAATCTGGAGATACATGCATGGGAGAATCAGGCTGGCCTCAAGACTGAGGGCTGTGTCTGTAGAAGCTGCCATGAGCTGTTCCTCACCTCTGTGAGTCGGACGGCACTCTGCTGGGCCTGCATGTTGCCACGGCCGGCCACAGCCTGGGGTAGTTCTGTGATATTGTGCTCACCATCTGGCTCCACCTCACTCTCTGACAGTGCTACACCCCTGTGAGGGCAGCAGGTTACTTCGAGTGCTCCACGGGCCAGCTCTAAATCCCCTGGGCTGGAACTGCCACCCACCCAGAGCCTTTCTCACGTAGCCAGCAGCTCACTGATATCCTGCAAGCGGCTCATGTTGGGAAACTTCTCCTGCAGGAGCTTCTTCATGCCCCGGCTCGCACCCACGGGCACCACTTTGATGCTACTGCAGTGGGAGAACAGAGGGAAGAGTGAAGAGTCACAGGGTCCAAGGCCAGCTTCTTGCCCTCGCCCTGCAGTGCATGCATCAGGGCGTTTACTTTGAGTCTGAGCAATCACATGGTCTCAGCAGCAGAGCTCTCATCAAGTGCATGGGGTGTCCCACCGCAGTCCCTCCCACCAACACTCACTAGTGCCTGAAGTCCAGCTCTTGGGAGTCCGGGTTGTAGTTAATGAGGAGGCAGCGCTTAATGGTGTTCAGGTTCACCTGGGGCGAGGGAGATGGGACTCTGAGCACTAGGGATGCCCCTAGGTGTTAGGGGCTGCAATCAGTTGTCTACAGACTGGAGCACGGGCTAAAAGTCAAGGCCACATGAGGCATCAAAGCCAACCTTCAGACTTCTAAGTGGACCTTATAATTAACTTAATTTGAGAACCACTGGGGCCGGGGCTTAGCAGCTGAAACTCTAGCCCTGCTAGCACGGCAGCTGAGGCAGTAAGATTACAAGTCTAAGCCCAGCTTGAGTTAAGAAAAATGGGCAAAGACATGGCTCAGTTGGTAGAATGCTTGCCTACCATACACTAAGCCCAAGTTTGATCACCAACACCCAAAGCCAGTCATACATCACTCAAGATGTACATGCAAGAGATGGAGGGCCAGAAATTCAAATCCGATCCGAGATACAGAAGAACCTGTGTCTCAGTAACAGATTCACTCCAACCCCAGCCCTGCCTTTGAATTTATGGTAATGTTAGTTACTCCCGGATCTGGCCCACCGTGTGCACGTTGATGGACGGGAACAGGTTCTGGAACATGGTGGCCATGAGCTTGATGTGCATGCCCTGGACGCCGAAGCTGTTGAGCACCAGAAGCGGTGGATGGTTAAACTGCTGCTCATGCATCCGGTGTCGGCGCAGGGAGGAGATGACATCCCGCACCAGTGTGTACTGAAGGGAGGGTAGAGAGGCTGAGGACCATCTGTGCTGTGTGACCAGGGCCCTCCCCGTAAGCTGAGCTCACCCATCACCACTATCCCTCACCTTGTTGATCTGGAAGGTCAAAGTGGGGCCTCCCGGGAGGCGCATCAGCTTCTGTCAGAGAAAGGATAGGTGAGGGTGGAGGGTTCTGGCTCTGGATAGGGCAGGGGGGAAGCCTTGCTCCATCGCTTCAGAGCGTTTACTTTGAAGCCAGCATCACTACAGCTCAGGGCAGGGGGTTCATCACGAGACAGGAGCAGCTGGGGCCGAGGGGGGGAAGGCATGGTGCCCACTCACCAAGTACACACTGCTGTCTGTTTTGCTCAAGATAAGGAAGTGTGTGACCCCGAGGGGGCCGGCCACTGCCACACAGTCCTTCAGTGAGTTCTTCTTTCGAACCTGATAATTACAAAAACGAATGGATACAGATAGTTCTTATTGAGCAAAGAAGCTTAAACTGGGGCTTCTAAGATGTTATTTCTGACCCCCCAACTTTCCGGGGGTACCGAGTCTTAACTGTATTCCTGAGCCCAGCACTTAAATAATTTTAAAAAGTATTATTTTGCGTGCAATCGTGTAAGGGCGCACAGGTGGAGCCAGGAGGACAACCTTCGGGAGTTGGTTCACCCCCTTCACCATGTGAGTCAGGCGGACCAAACTCGGGTTTAGCAGCAAGCCCTTTGCTGCCGAGTTATTTCTCGATTGCGCCCCCACGCCTTGTGCCTTTGTGTTTTACATATAAGACCTCACTATGTACCCACGACTGGCCTCTAACGTAAGAGCCCCCTAGTTTCTTTTCCCGAGCGATTTCGGCTGTGCATCATGCCCGGTTCAAGCGGTGCTGGGGATGCAGCCGAAGCCTTCCACGTGGAAAGCAGGCATTACTTAATTTAGCCACTTAATTTAGCCATCAACCTCCAGCCGCCGCGAAGTCGAACCCCGGGACTGGAGTGTGGAGAGCTGGGGAATGCAGACCTGTAGACGAGTGGCGGTGAGCGGCTCCATCACCCGCCGCACATCCAGGCTGAGCTGCTGGACACTGCGACCCGCCCGGCCTCGCGTGAACACGAACGAATGCGGCTGTGCGGCGTAGGCCTCGAGGTTGCGGAGCTGGGCCTGGGCGCGAGCGCGCTTCTGGTGCCGGGACTGCAGGGGCGACAGGCGGGCGGTGAGCGCCCCGGCCTCGGTCGCGACCCCACCTGCACCCCATGCCCGCCGCTGCCGCGGCGCCTCACCCGCCCCGACTGCCCCATGCTGCCAGCTCCTCCACGAGGTTGCTTCTGAAGCTGCTTCCGGCGCACACTGCTCACTTCCGACGCAAGACGCTCTGTGTGGTTCACTTCCGGTGCCGCGTGGCTCGTATCTTCCAACTTCCGGCGCTCCCGCCGGTGACGTCACTCCGCGGGCTTTAGTGCTAGGTCTCTTAGGGGAGTTAAGACGGAAATCTTCACATGGACTGCTAGAGAGATACCATGCCGGGGTGAGGCCGCAGAGTCTCTTTAGTATTAGAATCCCAGTCCTGCAAGGTGTGCGACTCTCTCTCCTTTTACCTCCTTCTGGATCCGCTTGCCTATGCTGAGCAACTCACACAGGTCCGCCGACCTCTGTCTTTCAAGCACCGGGATTAATGGCGTACACCACCACCATGTCTGCTCCATTCCCAAATAAATTGCATTTATTTATCTATGGTGGTACATATGCCAAGGCGCACATTGGGAGGTGAGAGGGTAACTAGTAACAATTGGTTCTCTTCTTCCACCATGTGAGGCCTGGAGATGGAATTCAGGTATTCAGACTTGGTGGCAGATGCTCTACTCACTGAGTCCTCTTGCCAGATCGCTCAAAATCTTTTAAATTATTATTATTTTATGTGTATGGACATTTTGCCTGCATGGATGTTTGTGTACCATTTCGTTGTTTGGTGCCTGGGGAGGCCAGAAGAGGGCGTCCTGAAGAGGGAGCTGGGTGCTGGGAATTGAACCTGCATCCTCTAAAAGAACAAGTGAACTGGGTAGTGGAGGCACATGCCTTAATCCCCTTATGGTTTTCCTTACATCTTTAGGTTGGCTCTTCCCTCATATTCTCTTTCTTCCTTCCTCCATTTTCTTCCTTCCTGTCTCTCCTTTCTCCTCCACATTCTTTCACCATGCAACCCAAGTTAGCCTTGCACTCAGCATCCTCCTGCCAAGTAAGGCTTCTTGCTGGCATCCATCTCCCCATCTGTTGTTTTTTAACAACCATTTCCTCTATTCTGAGGCTCCCTAACTAAATGTCCTCTCTCCCTGCCCTCGATAAAGATACCATACTGATCCTGGATATACTGGTCCCTGGCATATGGGGCTTAGTCAATGGATTGAGCCCTGAGTGGTCCCTCATCTGTCTCCTAGATCCTGAGGGCCACCTCTGCTCCCTAGAGTCCCTGTCTGCAGATGGGTGGAAGTGTGAAAGCTTTCTTTGGAAGCCAAGAATTCTGAATCTCAAATCAGTTCCCTTTCCATTTTTACCCACCATCTTAGCCTCAGGACTCTGACTTCTTCCTCCTTGCCCCCAAATAACCTTTCAGTGAAGGGAGGGACACTCATCCTAAGGCTTAGCATCTTGTCTCCTCCCAGGCGCCTGCATCTAACTCTCCCTCTTCACCTATTTTGCCTCTCCACTTTACCCAGCATCCTATTTTTACCCCTCCCCTTACAACAGCATCCCCAACTGTCCCTTTTCATTTTCTCTAAATTTCCCTCTTTCTCCCGTCCCTGTCTCCGTCCATCTGAGCCCTGTTGCTGCCTCCTCAGCTCTCTGGTCCTTTAGGCCTCTCCTGTGACTCCGGAGGTTTCTTCTCTCTGTTGGTAATGAAGAAGCAAAGAGGCTGTGCAGTTCCTGCTGTAGCCCAGAACTGGCTGGTGCTTTCTAGTGTGAAACAGTCTTTTCCTCTCTTGGCCCTGGAGTGTGCTCAGTTGGGGGAGCTGAGGACCTTGCTAAGCAAGGAGAAGCCACTTTGCTCAGTGGGGGGATCCTGGGTCCTGACAGTGGAATCTGTCTCTAGGAACTGACCATAAAGATTTTTTGCTCTTGGTCTGTCACTGCATGGCTTGACATGAAAATGTGACTGTGTGAGAGAAAAACAGAATTTGTAGTAGGATGAGTGAGAAGTATGCGCACTGTGCAGTGTGTGTGCTGTGCAGTGTGTGCGCTGTGCAGTGTGTGCCGTGCAGTGTGTGCGCTGTGTAGTGTGTGCTGTGCAGTGTGCGCTGTGCAGTGTGTGCCGTGCAGTGTGTGCGCTGTGTAGTGTGTGCTGTGCAGTGT